TGTGCTTGTTTTTCTCTTTAAATTTCATTCAACATTGCCAAAATTAAAAGAAATCATAATATAGTCAAAGGGATGGGCAAATATATACTGCGATATAAAAAGCTGCTAAACATATCAGTAGATATGTATTCTAGCTAAGAGCAGCATTGCCCCACAGACATCATACACCAAGATTGCTCTTTCAACGTTTGGGAATCACATGCTTTATTTGGTGTCACAGAGAAACAGGTTTTCTATCCCTTATTGTTAAGCATTAATTTGTTTCAAATAATTACCTAGACTTGGATATTTAGCTTGCTCCAAATGATCCCTTGATTATGCACCAAAAGTATCACTGATAAAGTAAGCAAAATGATTTAAAATTTGCTTACACTGTTTGACAACTTTTTTTATTATGTACTAGAGGTTTTTGCATGGCTAGGGTCCCTAGGCATGGCAGGCAATCAGGGCTGATGGGGGCCTTCTGGCTGCTGGCCAGAGCCTTCCTTCGTTGCACACCACACCCTTGTGGTCAGCACATGTCATAGCAAGCGATAGAACTCCCAGTCTCCTAGTCGAACTCCTGCAGGGACACTTTGCATATTAGCCTTTTTTATATATAGATTCCTAGGCGATTCCAATGCAAAGCAAAGTTTGGGAGCTGCTGACCTAAGGCATCTTCCCAAAGCACCAGTGTCATCCCTCCTCTGCTGAAATGGGCTCAGGGACTCTCCTGGCCAATGCACAGAACATGGGGCAGTTGAGAGGAGAGAGAGGTGTGGACACACACCTTAGAACTTCTGCACCCACACTTCTGGTAGAAACATCTATGATGAGAAAGAATCATTGACTGGCTACATCTGAACATCTCCCATTAGGGATTGAGCCAGCAAACCAGGCATATGCCCTTAACTGGAATCACACCCGGACTCTTTAGTCCACAGGGCAGTGATCTATCCACTGAGCCAAACCAACTAGGGTGACAACTTGTTTTGAAATTAAATTGCTCTTGGTAAAATTGTGACAGCCATTTTAATGATTATAGTGTAGTCTGCCAACCGTTATGCTACTAGGGCATTTAGGAAAGAGAATGGAATATAGAAAAAGAGACTCTCTGTGTGAGAGGGTTATGAGAGCGCTTGCTTGCATGCTGGAAGTTCTGAAAAGTAAAGATGAGTTCACAGCCCAGTAACTGATAGAGCGAACACGTGAATGGATAATAGCTTATGGGACACTCTACTGCAAAGAAGGGGCTAAGTGAGATGTTGGGAGAAGACTTTCCATGGATCTTTTGTGTTTCTGTACATATTACCAGCAAATCGCTGACTGCCTTGGTTCCAAATTATTTTTCAAGAATGTGTGTATATTGAACAGTATTGAAAAACAGGGATGATATCTTCCTTGGAGCAAAAGGCAGGCGTGTTTATTGTACATTATAAAAGACTCAAGTTCTCCCAGCTTACTGTTTCCCCACATGAAATGCAGAAGTTGCTCAGTGAAATTGAGGAAATTTTATATAGTTTGAACCTGCCCAGAGTGAGTTTGTAAGTCACAGTGATGAGTTAAGGTAGCTATAAATATTTTTTAAAAATAATTTCCTCAGAGTTTCATGTAGGACATATTTTGTTTAGTTGTGACAATGTGAAATATGACTTACCAACAGGATACTTGGCTATAGAACGAGTGGTTGCATATTTAAGGGAAGGATGCTCAAGAAGATAAATATAGCAGGGTAACGGAGCTAAAGAAGCCTGAAATGAATTGAAAACATCTTTCTTATTATGTCAAGACCATATGTTTTGTTTTCTTTGCTGCTAGAGAGTCAATAATGCCTTCAATATGTTTTACTATATCAACTAAAATTAGTAAGACAGCTTTATAAAACATAGTCTGAAATCCAATATTGTTCTTAAAGCTTTGAAAACATAAATAAACTACACTACATATAAATTGATGAATAGCTTCCTGGGTAAAATGTACATTAAATTCTCAAGAACCATGATTAAAGAATATGAAATAAATTTTCCTTCAAATGGATTTGGTTATTTCTTTTTTTAAATCAGTGGTTACACTTACTGTTTAGCTTAGTATTGCTCTTAAAGAATGTTGTTTCTAACCCTGCAGTCCAGGTCTTTGAATGAGAATTCAAGACAGACCTCTCAGTTTTGGTAACAACGTCAGCTATGCTGCTTCCATGCCTGGCAATCAAAGCATTCAGTTTCCTTCAATGAGCAATGAAGAATAGCTACATTATGATCTCCTCCTAGAACTACCTTTGAGTCAAAAACTCAAAGGAAACAAAAATAATAGTTAATCTTTCCTGTCTTCCAGAGATTAGGCTAAATGCTTTAAATACTTTATCTCGTTTAAGGTTTTTAACAGCCATATAAGTAAATGTTACTATGTCAACTTTATCAAATGAGGAAAGCAATGTATCTTGTCCAAGGTTTGTGAATGAGAAAGCCAGGATTTGAACCCAGGTTCTCCTGGTTACATGGGACAAACGCTTTCCATTAAATCATACCAGCTCTCTGGAAAGAAGGAAGGGTATTTATTACACAATAATAAGCATACAGATGATTATTTGTGTTTTTGCTTGGTTGTTATTTCCTAGCAATTTTTCTCTAGCTACATGCACTGTATTGCTAAATTTTTCATCTTGTAGATTTCTGAACCTTAAAATGATTAGCTATATGAAATATTGAAAGATCAGATGTGTGCTGGGGTATCTGAATCAAATGGAGAGAAGGACAGACTAAAGAGAGACAATATTTTTATCGTTGGTCTATATAGCAGTGATGGCGATCTGTTTGAGCTCAGCGTGTCAGCATTTTGAAAAACCCTAACTTAACTCTGGTGCCATGTCACATATAGAAATTTTTTGTTACTTGCAACCATAGTAAAACAAAGACTTATATTTTTGATATTTATTTTATATATTTAAATGCCATTTAACAAAGAAAAATCAACCAAAAAAATGAGTTCGCGTGTGACCTCTGACATGCGTGTCATAGGTTCGCCATCACTGGTCTATAGTCAACATTAAATGACTGTTTTTGGAGCTTCCTAAAACTGTAATTGAACTACTTCCACCACACCATTTTAAAGTTTGGTATTACTTTTACCAAAGAGCCTATGATTTGACAGCTGTCTGGATAAAAGGTTTACAATTTTATAGACAGAAGAATCTATAAATGTTTTATGATTTTATTCACTGTATTTATCATGTGACTCATTTCCTCTCCCTTTTCTCCTGCTTGTCACCACAACCTCCATTCTGATGCTCCTCCCACTTCCCCATCTCTCTTAGACCACCTCCCCTTCCTGACACTTTTCTGGTTGTTTTATATTTATAATTGATTTAAAAGTACAGGTCTTGTGATAAGTTATAAATTAGTAACATTGACATTACCTTAATGTAATGAAACATCTGAATTAAAAAGTCATTCCGGGAATCTTCAAGAATAAGAGTACATCCCATGTTAGAAGTAGTATTGTGAAGGTCGAAAATGATGTCATAGGAATCTTCACTGTCTTTTGGACCAAATAAATGATTTATTTCTTGAGCCCTTCTCACTTCATATGGCAAATCCTCTGACATTTTTTTGCTGTTTTAACAAAAAGAAAAAGATTAAAAATATCTGTGGCTAATATAACACAAATATACAATAAGAACAGAGTGTATAAGGAACCAGTTGACAAACTTTAATATGAAAAACCTGTGAGGAAAGTGGAAGCTTATTTGAAAACTTTACAAATGAAAAATTATAATTTTTCTTTATTTGATTCTATGTACTGTTGCACCAGCATGATTGCAAATAATATTTCATTATGTGGCTGTCAAAGGAAGGACATTTCAAACAGAATTTACCACTTGACTTCAACTTCAAACAAAATATAATCATTGATTTAATCAACAATTTCTTAGTAGTTATGTGCACTGTGATATTCTGGGCCTAGCCTAGGGGTGGGGAACTTTTTTCTGCCAAGGGCCATTTGGATATTTATAGCATCATTTGCAGACCATACAAAATTATCAACTTAAAAATTAGCCTGCTATATTTGGTTAAACATTTAGTTACTTCACCCCTAATGCCTTGGCAGGGCCAGACCAAATGATTTCCCAGGCCTATACAGCCCACAGGCCGGATGTTCCCCGTCCCTGAGATAGACAATCAGATGGAATTGTTTTTGTTCTACAGCTAATTCCAGTGCATAAAAATAGTTAAACTTAGATAATGTTCACATTCTTAATTGAGGTCTGGGAACCACTAGTGATCTAGGGATAAGCTTTATAGACAAGTTTGTAAAACCTGAGAGAATGCAAAACTTTTGCAGGTATATGCATATTTTTTTCTGGGATAAAGCTTAATAGTTTTTATTGAATTCTGAATTGAGTCTCTACCTGTCCCCTCTCCCCTCCAGTAATGGTTAGGATGTATTTTCCTGCATTAAACCAACCATTTCTCTATAATCCCATCTATGTATTTCAATTTCCTGACTATTTTTGCTACTATCTTCAAGAGACTTTGCATCTGGATAATTCCTGCCTGGACTGCTATCAAGAAGGTGGAGCAGCTGTGCTTTGGCTAGAAAGCAAAAACTCTGAGGACAAAAGTGCATGCTAAGGATGGTGCAGTGGGAAGATGAGAAGAACCTGTGGCATTTATGATATAATTGAGCCACTGCATCTCTGGATTTATTATTTGTGAAAAAGAAAATCTTACTTGTTTAAGCCACTGTCTTTATGTTTCTATTGTATATGACCAAACATAGTTCCTCATGAATATATACAGTGTACAGATGATGTGTTGTGGAATTGTGCACCTAAAATCTGCATACCGTATTTGCCGGCGTATAAGACGATTTTTTGGCCCTGAAAAATATGCCTCCAAGTGGGGGGTCGTCTTATACGCCAGGTACACTTCAGATAGACTGCCCTTAGTGCTTGCCCCGTGCCATAGTGGCCTCCCGATGCCCGCCCACTTCATTCCACATACCGTTCAGGCATCAGCAGCGCTGCTGGGTGTATGCTCGGCTGTTATGCGATTTTGCTGTTATGCGATTTTACCACACTCGCAAAATCGCCCACAGCCGACCATACACCCAGTATGATAGCGCAAAATCACGAATCGCGATACCATACTGGGTGTATGGTTGGCTGTGTGCGATTTTGCGAGTGTGGTAAATTCGGGTTACCGTATATTTCTTTACATATGCATTGAATTTTAAAGAAGGC